GACAGGATCTGGGGTTGTACATTTCTGGTAGCTTTACTTTGTGGTCAATCGCTACTGTGAAGACATCCTCCAAAATCATGTCCAAAACACAAAAACTGAAAGATCACGTTAAGTTACAAAGAGCAGAAGGTGGGAACACTCACCACTGTGTGTCATAAAAAAATCTAATGATCAATTTTGACGTTTAAAGAGTTTAGATCGATCAGTTGTTTACATCACTCAACACAAGCAGAACTGCATCACTGCAGCAGAAGACACATCGTCCACATTCAGAAGCACATCTCTGTATAGTGACTGGTCTTATGATTTAAACAGGCAAATGTTCAGCATTCAAACTACAGGTGAAGAATAGTCAAACCAGATGTTTCCCTGTTATGTCGATATCAGCTAGTCAAGTACACACCTACACAGCATGTTAACAAACCGTGAAAAAAGCCACACAAAAAATGAATGATTGCTGGTAAGGGTTTCTATACATTAGTATTTATGAAGGGTATGTTGTGACTTACCTTCAAAATTACAGTGGTCCTTCGCTATGACGCGGTTCACCTTTCAACTCGCTGTTTAGCAGATTTGTTAGTGCAAGTTTGCACGTTTTTTTTTTACATCACATTGTGTCCTGCGTCCTGATCGCTGCAGACGATCTCCTCCGTGCCGTCTCTGCTGCACAGTACACAATCGCTGCATCGATGGCTAGCAGTGTGACTCTGAAGTGCAGTCACACTGCTTTTTCCCCAACAAACACAACAATGTCGACGAAACGTTTACCACCATCAAAAAAATAAAATTGGCTACTTGATTTCACCTATCGCTGGTTATTTTTAGAACATAACACCCGCGATAAACGAGGGACCGCTGTTTACAAATACTGAGAAATATAGAATTTAAATCCTTTCTCTGTTCTGCTCTGAGGCGCGGGGGGAAAAATATCGACAGGTCTATGAACAGCATCTACATATATATTCCGTAAATGCCCAAGACATCTTGAGAAATGTAAATCTCACCTCGATTCATCAATTTGGTTGACTTGTTTTGGAAAAAGCGGCAGTAAACAAGGAGCGAATATAACACCGGAAACGAAGCGCCCTACAGGAGTTTCCCCACCGGAAGTAGCATATGCTAATGTGCACATAGTCTATTACTCCCAGCTGTGCTCTCCTTCTGTGTCTCATTCCCTTCATTATACTGCAGCTCTGTTACCATGTTGAGACAGAAATCAGAGAAAATTTGAAATGTCTTAAACTGAGAAGAAAGAAAAAAACAATATAAAGAAAATATTTGTGTAGATTTTGTTTTGTTGGAATTTGAGTCACTTAAAGAAATCTTTTAAAATTTAGGATATTTTACATTTACATTGTATCAGGTGTATATTTTCTTACCTGCTTTTTCATAACAGCATATAGACCCAGGGCCATATCCATTTACCCAGAGTCACTAACTGAAAATCTTCAGATCTGTTTTAGGTATGATTGATTGTTTTTATGCAATTTTAATGAATCATCTGCATATTTATATAATTTTCCTCCTTTTTGATAACATCAGGTAAACCCAGGGCCACACTGACAGCAGGAACAACAATCATACCAGTAGGGGGCAGTGTGACACTGACCTGCTCTGTGCAGAGCTCTGATGGATGGAAATATGAGTGGTTCAGACGAACCCAAACAACCTCTGAAGGTAAAATCAGAGATCAACAAAACAGAGATATCAGAGTATCTCAAGGAGGAATCTACAGCTGCAGAGGAACAAGAGGAAACCCAGTTTACTACACTGATATAAGTGATGATGTCACCATTGAGAAAACCTGTGAGTTCAGTCATTTAGTTTGAAATATACATTCACTCATGATTATCAAACACACAATGTGAAGTTTTCTGTGTTGATTTCATGTTTCTGTTTGTATCTCAACTGTTAATATGTGTAAACAGTTTCCAATAAAGTTGTTGTAAAACAACAACCCAACTGGCCTCAGATATTCAGTGGTGAGACGATCACTCTGACATGTGAGGTGCAGGAAGGAGGTGAAACCACTGAGTGGGAGTATGAATGGAGAGGACCCAGGACACCCACACAGTGGACGCACAATAATGATGTGACATTCAGAGTGTCTGAGTCCAGCAGTGGAGACTACATGTGTAAGAGTCGACGCAGAGATGACTCATATTCTTCAACAGAGTGGAGTGAAGCCTTCACATTGTCAGCATCAAGTAAGTCATGTTTGTTGTGTGATCTCCATTTGACAAATGTCATAATGTGTTTAAAATGAAGAACTGTAATTATCAGGGGCTATGCTTCTGTAATTGTCGCCAGTTCTTTTTATGTATTTTGGTTTGAGGTTTGTGCAGATTTTCAGGAAAGATGTTTGGCCTCATGAGCACCAGATGCTGCACCTTTATTCAGGTCATAGAAGCCGAACCAAAGACCAGAAAATGGCCTCAGTTTATTACAGACACATTACTACAGTAATTTTTCTCATTACAAAGTTTTGCTCTCAGGAAGCACTCAGGTGTAAGACACTTCACCCGTTGCCTACTGGTGGTGGTCAGAGGGCCCAGTGGCGCCAGTGTCCGGCAGCCTCGCCTCTGTCAGTGCGCCCCAGGGTGGCTGTGGCTACAATGTAGCTTGCCATCACCAATGTGTGTGAATGTGTGTGTGAATGGGTGGATGACTGGATGTGTAAAGCGCTTTGAGGTCCATAGGGACCAAGTAAAGCGCTATACAAATACAGGCCATTTACCATTTACCAGGCCATACACACACACACACACACACACACACACACACACACACACACACACACACACACACACACACACACACACACACACACACATACTCATGCAACTGACACAGACACACACAGACTGCTCTCCTAGTGGAACGCAGTCTGAGTCGAGTCCTTTTTTTCTCCTCCTGTCTCCAATATTGTGTATTTTCATTGCCTTTCTTAAATGCTACCTATACTGACCTGTAATGTGATGTTTGTGTAATATATGTAAGGTCGGAAGAGGTCCATTTTGACTGCAGGCAACAGCATGTGACAAATATGAATTTCATTCATTCATTCATAAACACAGAGTCACCAGACCATGACAAATTACTTTTTTAAATACAGCTAAGAAAACTTTCACAGTGTTGATAAAAATGAGTTTATAGTTTATTTTATCTTGTATATAAATCCAATCCATTATTATTATTATTCTTGTCATCAAGATTTGGTCATGTTCACCATTTCCATCTAGTTTTTTTAAATTATTTAGATTCAGTCATTTATTTGTTTGTTCTTTTTCTAAACTGAACTGCAGATAAACCAAAGGCCAAACTGAGAGCTGATAACACAGCTGTTCCAGTAGGGGGCAGTGTGACCCTGACCTGCTCTGTGAACCCATCATCATCATCTGGATGGAAATACTACTGGTACAGAGATAATACCACAGTGGATGTTGTCTCCCCATCAAATGGACAAATCAGTGTCTCACAGGAAGGACTCTACAGGTGCAGAGGAGGAAGAGGAAACCCAGTTTACTACACAGAGGACAGCCAAGAAGTTCACATTAACACAACTGGTGAGTTTGTATTCAGCAACAATGTTGAATAGATAGATGATTGCGGATTACTATGAAGATAAACAGCATCATATCTCATGGTAACCTCTTTGGCATTGTAATAATGATCTTATTGGAAATGGTTGAACATGAATAGTCATGTAAAATGTGGAGTCTAGAGAATCAGTGTCAGGAATGTGATCTAAGGAGGGGAGACTAGGTGGGATTATGAATGTGAAACAATCATTTTCAGCAAATCTCCAAATCAACATAAATTCACAATTAGTTCTGTTTGACTGTTTGACATGTTTATATAATAAAAGTTTGTAAAGCCGATTTAATGAAGTCAACATTTTAAGAGGAAATTTAAGAGACTGGGCTTGTGTTGATGTGTTCATTGTGCGGAGTAAAGTCATAGGAGACGCTGATTCAAAGTGATTTCTAGTCAAAGAAAATAGATGAACTAGATATTTTATAAACTGATGTTATGAAATATAAAATATAATTAAGCTTTATTGTTTGTGTTACAGTAACTGTGTCAGGAGCTGACAGCTCTTCATCTCCTGTGTGGTTGATGGTTGGACTGGTTTGTGGAGTCTCTCTCATTATTATTCTCCTGCTCTTGTTGTATCACTGCAGACAGTCCAAGTGTAAGAGCCTTTTCTTTTCTTTCTGTATTAGAGAGTTTATTTACTACACACACTTTAATTATTCATACATATACATGTTTTCTGATCTCATGACACAAAATAAAAATTTACATGACAAACATGTGTAATAACATTTGTCTCTTTCACAGGTTCCTGCTTCACCAGGTTGGTAAAATACTTTTTATTATTATTTTAAACAAACATCAGTTACTTTTGAGTTTGTGTTTATTTCCTGTTTCAGGTGGATCCAGTCTGAGAGTCACAGTCCGGGCTCCTCCACAAATCATGGAGTCAACCAGAATGAAACTCATGAACACAACTCTGTTCATCCTGGTCAGCACTTAAACCGATCTTTATTATCATTATTAATATTGACTTTTCATTCAGTCTCCATTAACAGGAACATTTCTTAGGTTCAGTTTCATCTAAATAACCAACTGACTACATGCACAAAAGATCAGAAACAAACAGGATTTTACAACCTGATTGTATTTTTAACTCGACTGAAAGAATCCACAAATGTGGTTGTTTCATATCAGATCAACACAAACAGTAACACCATGATGGGTTCATGCTCTGAAAATATCTGACAGTCCTGGATTTGACTTAAACACAACTAATGAAATTGAATGTGATGTGTTTACAAACATTTTTACATTTCAGGTGCAGATGAACCGAGAGACGTCACATACTCTCTTATTACACTTCAAAACTTTGGAAAGAAGAGTGAGTACACAAAACACACAGTGTAGAAAAAAGCCTGGGAAGTTTTTACAATATTTAAAATTTTCATTAATCTGATCATCTTAACAGGGAAGCATCATAAACCAGAGCAGAGTGCTGTTTACTCTGAGGTGAAGACGGGAGCTGCAGGTACAGTCACAACAGTCTCATTCAGTGTTTGTACTTGAACGTGTCATCACATCATTATATTGCAGGTAATTATAGGTCAACATGGAGTTTAGTTATTCACTGACCAAGCTTAGCTACTACATACGACCACTACACATCAGCAGACTGAATCTTATACACATCGAGGGCCGTTCAGAGTTTAGTGTAAGTTTGTCTGCTTCATATACAGAATGATATTGTTATTGTACAGTATGGTATTGTCCATCTATATGTCCCTGATCTAAACAGTTTCTCTCATGTTTTTACTCTGTAATGTTCTTGTCATCATATCTGTGCTGAACAAATGTGTCCTGAGCTCTGACGTCTCTTTTAGAGGACAGTCTGATGTATGCTGAGGTCAAACAGCCCAAAAAAGAAAAAGCCAAGAAAAACAAAGGTGAGCAAAGTCTGCCATCCTCTCCACTGAATATTGTTCATCATGTTTATTTTACAGGTTATATTTATGTATTCACACTTTTAAAAATCTACTCTTTTATCTTTGCATTAGTGGAGACGTCAAGTTTCCTCCTGGTTAATGATATTATTGTTTTCAATGATCTTCTCTTCATTCACAGGAACATCAAGTCCTGCAGCTGATGCAGCAGTTTATTCTGAAGTCACATCAGGAAGCTCTCTCAGTAATTCTGCTGCCATGCAGGCTGATTTATTCTTCACATTATTAAATGTCTTCAGCTCATAATATCTTTACATGTTGGAAATCACTTTGTCTCTTTGTGCTTGTCTTACAGGTCAGTGAGGAGAGCTGTAGCAGCAAAGCCAAGAAGAAGCTTTTTATGAAGCCACTCTTGCTCCTCTGCTGCCCAAATATCAGACATGCTCAGCTTTATGTACAGTTACAATATTACATCATAATATCAGACATATTGCTCTCTTATAGCATAAAATAAATGCAGGTGTATTTCTATTTAATATTCGTGCTCTTTATATTCAGTTTTTTATTAAAGATTTTGTAATAAACCTTGAATGTATCTAACATGTTCCAACAGCAGTGAGAACAAAGTGTGAAATATGTGATCTTTAGTATCTGACAGCACAACTTAAAGTCAGTGTTTGCAGTGTTTCACAAGTAAATACTGATATGGGCACCAACAAATACTTTAACTGTGTTTGTTTACATTATATAAATAAGAATTATATCATAGGCAGTGAATATATTTGAATGTATTTCATGTATATTTTTGTGTTTCTGATCATTTTTTTGCATCTGTAGCTAGAAGGTAGAAATAATTTTTTTTTACATTTGAACATTTTATCTTTGATTTTTGTTTCCTGTATGAGATTATTGACAGACTAACAAAACAAGCGGGTTGTAACTGCGTTATCATGCAAACCTGAAATAAGCAGATGTGAGTATTATTTGCAAAGCGGTCACTAACAGTTCAGAGCACAACAGCAGTCTGCATGTATCTGACACAGAGGACTGTGAAGTAGAACACAGAAGTAGCTCTCTGTGTGCTGCTATCACAGGATGAAGTCAAAGGAAAAGATAACTTGTAGATGTGATAAATCTCATATGAAAGATGGAGACAGAACATCACAGAGCTCTGCATCAATCATGGTCAGCACGACTCAGAGAAGTCGCAGTATTATAATTTTGCACTCCACTCCATTTACATCATTAACTGATCTCACAAGAATTTCAGAAACATCAGACCTAAAACATTCATTTAAGCTTATCATTGTACTTACATTGTACAACAGGCACATTACTGCTCTACTAGCGCAGAGACACCTCCTACTTTCTAGCAAGTGATGAGGAGAAACAAAACAGCATCTAAACACTAGTGATGCCCCACTGGGTGCCAGTGTGGTCACCAACACTCCTCCTATAGATTAGTATTTATTTATACCTGCTCTGTGCTGTGCTGAAGGAAAAGACTTTCCAACACTTCTTTCATTTCAGCTGACTTCACCTGTGTGAAAACAGAGAAACATGCACGGCATTAAATCAGACTCATTTGTGTTCCAGCACATGTGGATATTAAGGGAAATAAAATGTCAGACACTTTGGCAAAATAGACACTTAAACAAGACACGGTGGGCGTGGAGATGACACTATAAACTTGAAGTAAAAGCACTAAAATTATTAAATAAATGTCAGTAAAGGTGGGACACAGAGGCAGACAGAAGCAAAGTGGATCAAGTGAAGACAACAGGGAAACAAGAAAGAAAGAAACGTTATTTATAGATTAAGAAAAGGTCTCATTAAGTGTGACGTTTATAGGAAAGTGTAGGAGTCTTATTTACCATTTCAGCTGCGTAGGTGATAATAAAACACCTTCATATTGGTTTTCAGGCACTAATGAAGGAGAAGCAGAAGAGGTGAACGGCCCAATATTGTTTTCACATGCAGCTCTTCACAGCTTAATGTTATTGTGTATTTTTATGTAATTTTTCTCAGCAATGATTCAGGTCATTAAAGATTTTTTTAATGCTGAAAGTGTTTTTATGTGTTTACCCTGAGTGTGTGATTATTGTGCTGCTGTTACAGCCCTCGTTCTGTTTTACTTCGCAGCACAGACATCATGTGTCTGGACACACAGTGTACAGTCAAAATCAACACCCTCAGTTAAAGATGTGAAAACATTTTGAGCTGTTAGGGACCTGTGTAGGTTGCTTTGGACTCATGTTTGTGTCTCTTAATTCATCTTTTGAAAGGTTTTACACGTTACGAATGTTTTATGTTTTTAATTTATTTAAAACTTTTAAAATGCTGAAATAAAACTCCAATAAATTCACACCAGTAAAGTGACTGTTTCATTCAAGCAGCAATACCAAACAATAATAACACATCAAACTGCAAATGTGACAATACAGATCAACATTTTATTCCTCCTGTGCAGCTACGATGCATCTGTATGTGTGTGTGTGTGTGTGTGTGTGTGTGTGTGTGTGTGTGTGTGTGTGTGTGTGTGTGATCCTTGGTCCTTGTCTATTCTGTCACAGGTTTATATTTACCTACTGGCTGACCTCATGGTTTGTGGCTGTATCACCATGAAAGGAGGAAATGCAGCCTGTGGTTTCAGCCTGAAGTCTTCAGTTTAGCAGTTGTGTAGTTTTATGTTATCAGCTCACAGCAGAGAGTTTTCAGACAAGGAATTCAGACAAAGAGCACAGTGGAAATTTCACTTTGATCTTTGTGAGCATTACACATGTTTATGTGACCTGCCTGTACTGAAATAATAGCAATAGTTATCAATGCTACATTAAAGTATGCATGGCAGTGTGTGAAAACAGACAAAAGTAGCATCATTGTGGTGATGACACAATAAAGAAAATAAAATCTTTGTGGGAAAATATGAAAAGTTTGTTTCTCACACTGGAAAGCAGCTGCCTTTCAGTCTCTGTATGGATGTGCTTTAAAAATGCATCTATGTGTGAATTAAATAAAAATAATTTCTATTTCTACCCTCAAAATCGTAACTTGTAACACATGATGGTTTTGTAACCAAACCTTTATGCTTCACTCATATTTATCTGTCTGCTGGACTCTGCAGTTACATTAAGCTGCTCCATCCAGGAGGAGTTTGGTCTGTGATGGAGAAATCTGTAAATCAAACCAAAGTTAAATTATTCAAAACTGATAACTGAAAACCAAAATTTGAGAAGGTTTAACAACAAGCTTACATTTCTGTATGTTTTTGTTCAGTTTTTGCACTTTAAGTACAAGAAAGGTACTTCAGTATTTTTTTTTCCAAAAACAGAGTTTCTTGGATATGTAAAGCAAAGTAAATAAAATAAATTTAAACAGAAACTAACTGAGAAAAAAAAAGCAAAAACTTTGTTAAATAGGGTTGAAAGACACTTGTGTATCACAAAACAAGAAAAAGTTTGAACATGAACACGTCACATGACTGCTGTGGTCAAAGCTACAGGAGCTGTTTGAGGTTTGTATAAAAGGAAGGAAGCACAGAGAGGTGATAGAAGGAGGCGCTGAATATAAACTCTGGTCTTATCGACATTAAGTGCAGCTTCTCTTTATCAATGCAAAGTCGAAACCTTTGAGATTAGATGCAGATCAGCGTGCAGGGCTGGACGTGAGGATGGGGCACTCTTTGCTCTGTTTGCTGGGGTTATTCTGTGAGTACAATACACACCTTTACTGTTTGAATGGCAGTGATGAAGGAAAATGTTTCTCACTGGTGACAATTACAGTGTATCACTGCTTTAACCTGTTTACCTGACAGCTTCAACACAGCAGACTAGTTTTTTTTCATGTTTCCAGCCGGTTTCACAGCTAATAGAAACATAAATTTGATGATAACTGTACCATGTGAAGATTTAAAAAGCCTCAGTTTATATATTTATTGTGATTTTGTCAGTTGTATAATGTCTGATGATGTTTCATTCATTATTTTAGTGCTCAGTACAGTCAGACATGGAAACACTGAAGGTGAGAAACAGTTTTTTCTTCCATTTATATCATACGTGTTGATCTTAACTAGTATTTAGCTTCTCCTGTTTTGCTCGTCTGTGTTATATTTTGTATCATAAATCAAACATTTCATTGAGATTATTGGTTAAAATGTTAATATAACCATTTTAACTGTGTGAGCACTCAAACACACACCCACGATACAACCTGTATATTTGTTGAAGAGCTGTGGCTTCATACATGTGGATTTTCTTTTCATGTTTATCTGATCTGAAAATATCAACAGTGTGTGTAGTGCAGTTTATCTCACTGAATTTTGCTGTTGGCATGTATGTTGTTTCATATAGTGGGATTTTTTGGATTGATTTTTGGATTATAAATTTTTTATTAAATTTTATTAAATTTATTATTTATTTATTTTATTTATTATTAATTTTGTTGCTGTTTTTGTCTTCTTAGTGGATTTTGTATTTATCTAACTCCTCTGGTCTGTTAGTGCCTCTATTCTGTCTGTGCTGGTGCCCAATCTGTACCCTGTTATTGACTTATGTTGATTCTCCGTATTACTGTGAAGCACTTTGGTGTTTTTAAATGTACAATATAAATAAAACTGTATTGTATTGTATTGTATTACCTCTTGGAGCTATAAAAATGCTTATTACCAAAAGCTCCACACAGATGACAAATTAAAGGAAAAACCAACATGAACATGGTAACCAAATGCTGCTCTGAGCTCAGCATAGAGTTTGTTACCTTCATCCCTCATTTGGTGTTTTGATTAGAAGCTGTTTAACACGTCTCTCCAAAGTCTCTGCAGATGTTCAGTGTGTTGAATTGTGTGGCTGCAAAAGATGATTCACATTATTTAAGTTTGCTTCAAACATTCAGAGCAACAATTTTATTCTTTTGATCTTTTTCTAAATTACAGACCTTGGAGTGAAGGCCACTCTGACAGCAGACAGATTAACTATACCAGCAGGGGGCAGTGTGACACTGACCTGTGATATGAAGTACTCTGCTGACTTTGAATATGAGTGGTTCAGAGAACCCCGTTTAAACTCTGAGAAGACCACAGTAGCTGGTGAATCAAAGAGAGAACTGGTGACCTCTGACGCCGGCATCTACAACTGCAGAGGACATAAAGGGACAAATTCAGGCCCAGAAGAAAGTGACTCTGTCTCCCTTCAGGAAACTGGTGAGTTTAAAATTTTAATCTGGAATAAAACAGCTTGAATTCTCCAAAGTTTCTCCATTTCTAAATATGTGAAACCTCTTAATGTAGAGTTTGTGACCTTTGATTGTCACTGAAAATGTAGTGCTATGTTTTATATTTAATTACTGGATAAATTATTAAACCTAATACAGCTGATTAAAGTTATTGACCTGAACTGCAGAAAAGAAAACATCAAACTTCTTCATCCTGTCATGTGATGAAAGATGAGGACCTAAATGCACAGGAGGGTGAGACTGGCAACA